TTACATTGGTGGCAAATTATCTATCCCCCCCCCCCCCCCTAAATAACTTACAAACGCAATTATGCCATTAGGGTGATTAATTCAAAATGACTTTTAGACTTTATTTTGTTCCTTTCAAATTCTTGAAAAAAAGGCTTCGATTTTATTGCTTTTATCAAATCTTGTAATTTGGGAGCTTATAAATAAAGATTAGACGATCGATTCAAATCTATAAGAGAACAACTGTGCAACAGGGTTATCAATAATCATGTTCATAGGGTTTCTTCCACTGTGAATAGTAATAAAGTTTTTTCCCATTTTCTAATAATTTTAGACTGACCCTGAGAGCCAGACTGCACGCTTCGTGATAGAGCACCACGTTTCGGTGACGCATTCCTATTCCTGCGCTACAGTCGTTGGACCATCAATCCTCTCTCCACCCTCCCCCGCAGGAGGTGTTTCACGAGTCAGGACTCGAGCCAGACACTACCTCGCTGTGGCCTGTCAGGGTCGCCAGTTGCGTCTATACCAAATCACTAAGGCTAGGCAACTATTTCACTATCGGGCCAGCACTTCCGAGGACGGATCGCCTGTCTGTTGTGCGACGGATCCTACTAGTACTCTAATCGCTACTGCAGGTAAGTAGGTTCCAGAGCAGAGGTTACATTGAGGCAAAGAGTTAAGATTGAGAATTTTCAAGTCCATTTTCAGAAAAGTGTTTCCCTCACACCAATCATGGTTAGAGTACAGTGGAGATGGGTATTAGTGGTAGGTATCACTACGTTAACGCTTGCATGAACTACTTCAGAGAGTCATTTCCTAATGAAATAATTCAAAAAGAATGATATTTTCAGTGAAATCGAAGGAATAATGAGTTGGAATTGTAGTTATGAGAAGTCGTTTTTGTTTCTTTATTTTATATTCTTTGTTAATCGGCTGACCAGTCATTTCCAACAACACAAAAATGAGGAACATCGGTCTATTTTTATTCATTAATGTGCTTTGAGAAAAAAACGGAATAAACGCCGGATGTTGTGTTTGTTAGGTATTTTAATCGTAAATATAGAAATAAATGGTTCTACCAAAGCATAAGCTTTTATTTCTTACTATTTAGCCTTTCGGCTGGAAGGCGTGTTTTCGTTAGTGGCATATTGATAATTACAAGCAAATGTTTGCTATTGGAATTTTGTTTTTTCACAAATATTTTGCTAATATCGACAAGAATATTTATTTCTATGCAATGGTAGGCTTTATGCTTGTTAGCATTAGGCCTTAAGTTGTTGACTTCGGGCTTCACAGAGGGAGGGGGGAACAGACAAAGTGGGAAAAAAGTCGCGGGAGAGTGATTCACAGATGCTAAAGTGACAGACAGGCGCAAAGGTAGAGAAAGGGGGGGGGAGGATCATCAAAGTCGCAAAAAGTGGAGAGGGGGAATAGAAGAGTGACTGAAAGTTGTAAAAGAAACATTCACACACAAAGGTAGAGAAAAGGGTAAGGTGAGTACTGTGTTGTGGTCGAACACGCATTACAGTGGGATCATGGTAGTTTGAAGTCAGAAGTCAACTGTCAGTTAAAAGACTTTTTTGCGTATGAGTTTACGTTGCCCAGTGTACATCACGTAGAGTTAAGTCTATCGCACACCCCTTGTCATACAATATTTAAATCATGCTTTCTATTAATTGCGTTTCCTCTGGGCTTTATTGTCACTACCGCGAATATCCTGCTAACGTGGATGAAAGATATTTCAGTTTTTTAGCGAATTAAGGCAGGAAAGGTACATAAAGAAAATGAAAGTGATTATTGATTCACAGTGGGCTTGATTTGATACTATTTTTAATGTATTTGCAGACATAGTCTTTTTTACGTTCCTTGAATTTAGTAATTGCTTCATTCCTGAAGGTATTCAAACTGAGCTTCAACGCGATACCCCGCATTTAATTCTCGCGAGCTTATAAAGCTAAGTGGGGTTGAAGGGATACATCAAAGTTTTCTGAGCAAAAGAAAATTCTTTAAAGCAAATAACGAAAGTATTGTCGCTTAGAGCCCCGTATATCTCCTTGTTCTAGTCTTGTCGTTGAATTGTTTCTACGAAATCCTCTGTATGTTCTCTCGTGTGTTATTTACCGTGATGTGGACGTTCGCATGTCATATTGGATGGAAGTAATGAGATCGAAAGTAAGCAAATGAATACGCGTCCAAATAATTATTTTCTGGATTGTTTGGGGGGCGGGGTGGTTGCTTAGCCTGCCTGCCTGCAAGATAATGTGATCATTCACACTCACCACTTATGGCTATTCAATCTTGTTACGAAATGAATTTAACTTCCATTTTCTTAGGTTACATTTGGCTGATTTTTTCACACCTTATCGATTTGCCTCCCTTACACCTTAAAGGTCTTGACTTCGACACGCATTTCATGTTTCAGTTGACAAACCGTCTTAATAATTGGTTGTAAATGTCTATGTGTCTTTCTCAATTAGAAATCTTTGTTACCTAAGGCGAATGCTGAGAACGGAGTTTGTAAATCAATAATCAATGCTAAGCGCTCATACCTGCAGAACGTAATTGAACAACTTGGCTTTCGTTAATTTTGTCTTTCGTTTCATTTTGTTCCTGCAGGTTCAGACAAGCAGATTAATCTCTTTCACCTCTTCACCGGTGAGCATGTGACCACACTCTACGGTCACGCAGACATTGTTATGGGTCTTATCTTCCTGCCCGATTTACGACACCTTGTGAGTCTCTCTTGCGACTCTTGTATCTTCATTTGGCGTCTGCCACCCGAACTCACCGCTCTGATGCAGGATAGACAACAGCGAATTGCTGCTGCCCTTGCGAACACGCTTCCCGTGGAAACGTCTTCTCTTGAATCGCCTTCATTACTTAATGGATCACCCATTTCGTAAGCAATATGACCCCCTTTTATTCCCAATTCTGCCTGTCGGATCATTGGATGTTTCTTCAATTGAGGCTTTATTCGGTGAATGTTGTCGACTTTTACAAGTTCTCTTGAGAAGTCCGAGAGGTTTTCTTTTTTTAGTGAAGTGGGGTCTTCCTATATCTTACTTTGACCTAGTCCTTGGCATCTATGCCCGTAATGCCAATTCTTGGAATCCAATCTGGTCTGGAGGTTGGGTGGATTTATTTCGAGTGGAGATGACCAATGAAGAGAAATCCGGTAAACCCATTCGTCGCTGAATTACGGGAATGGAATTAATTCCATGAATATTTGGAGCAAATAGGCCACGATGATACCTCTTGAAGATTAACCCTAGTGTTTCTGCGCTATCATTGCGTGCCAATTTTGATGATGTTTCATTTGCCGATAAGGTGGACGAACTATTCATTGATTAGCGATGTCATACTTTAATTGAAAAGTTTTTCAATCTGGGAAATTCGCTGGATTAATTCTCCTCCATCTGAGCATTTACGACTATATTTCACCTCTTCTTAAGGCAGTGGTTTTGCAGTTATGGTTGGCAGGTGGAGGTTTTTCATAACTTATTCACTTATTCTATTCGAAGTCATTTTATTAGGTACCTTTTCAATTCTCGATTCTGCGCAGTTGTTGATGTAATTAAACTCATTACTTACCCATTGTTATCGCTACACCTCCTTCGCCAATATATATCTGGCCGAAGTTTCGATGAAATGAGGCAGAATGCAATTCAGTGTTTTTTGTACAGACTTGATGTCTTCGTATACTGCTACATATGCCTACTGTTTCTCTCCTGTGGCGTAGTAGACGCGACGGTGCAATTGTCTGACTCATTTAATTAGCACGGGTCTATAAAGTCCCTGGGGGGGGGGGGGGGGAATTCAGTGATTGAAACAACAAACCGCGCCTTTGCAGGGTTTTTTGGGTCTAAAAGCCGATATCCTCTTTTTCGAAGAACGAAAAAAACGGAAAACTGCCTATATATTTAACTTCAACTATGGGAAGTTCACCATACCTCCTTTCATCTTAGTTCATGAAAAAAATTAACAGATAGGCATTATTTTCATTTTTAATGTGAAGGAAACATAACTCGCCAAGGGCAAGTATCCAATCAGCGTTTAGGAGTAACTAAATATAAGGCAGCAAACCTGTGTGCATTTAGACCTGTATAATGACCCTAATAATTGTTTTAATTTATCTAACTACGCTGCGAAAAGGTGCTCACATCTTGTGTACTCCACTTTGGGAGTTTATCCACATGTATATCTAATGTCTATTTATTGTTAATACTGCAAACTCTATTGTCGAAGAAGGACATTGCATGAGAATCGAGTTCGCTCCTTTTAATTGAGCTTTTTATTTTAAACCTAAAATGTTTATCACTTATTTTACTCACTTTTTAAGCTCATTACTCTACTCTTTAATAACGTGATTCAATTTGTATTTTAATTGAGTGTCTTTTCATTATTTTAGGTCTTCAAATGGCCTGGAGAGCAAGAGTTTGGTGGAAAGTACAGAATTCTGTTCCAACGAAGCTGGTCTTCCATCTTGGGCTCGAGAAAAAGTATGTCAGGGACTGTTAATTCTCCCAGTTTATTATAACTTCCAACTAATCTTCAAGCTTGTGACTAATAGAGGGCAAGCACTAAAGTGGGATAAATGCAAACTTAACTAAACCTTTAGGGATTAAAGGTACTTTAAAAATTAAAGATAAGCATATACCATTTTTCATGGGATTGAGTGATACTGACCTCCACGTTCCTCTCAGTCAAATACATTTAATCAGTAATTTCTGAAGAATTTTGTTAATATTCATTGGCCTTGAACAATAAAAGGAATTTTGATTCTTTAATTGTCCTAAAACGCTCATCATCCTCATCATCATCTATTTACCCTGACCTCTCTTATTGATAGCTTTAATGCCTAATGGGAAATATTCTCAGTTTTTGTATGGTTTGCAGATCGATATAGAAATTAGGAAAGTTAGGTACCAATCCGATCAAAGTGGTTGCGTAGGTAGAGCGCAGTGTTTACAGTTTCGAAATGCAAAGTCGTAGTTTACGGGACGGCTCTGAGAAAATGCTTCCTTCCTGCTAACTAACTGAGCTTTTGTTGTACTGTCACAGCAGTTAGTAACTTTCTCGACGGCGCTCAAAATGCACCCTACAGTCAAGTGGGTTGCTATCTTGTGGGGAGGGGGGGGGGGGAGAAAGGTGGAGCTCAAGTGCCAAACATTGGGTCTGTTACTGTCGTAAAATTGGTTGACAACTATTAGCGACTTTGTCCTGTGGGGTGGAAATGATTCGAATCCTTCTTGAAACATCCATGCAACCAAATATTGGCTATCTTTGCTAGTCAAGCATCTAAATTCTACCTAATTATCTCAGAAAAATGCGGCGGTGGGCAGGAAATCGCACTTGGGTGAAGGATACATCTCTGAAACCATGATAGTTAGGTCAAGTTGAGTCTGCATGACCTAAGGAGGGGTTCCCTTTGGCCTATTAGTAAGCAATCTGTTATTCTGGCTTTTCAAATTGACAAAAGTTATTGCCTCGGAGTGTATCGAAAGGAATTCAAAGCATGAAAATGGTAAATTTGTCGGATTTCTGTTATTCTCTAAAGTAAAAGAATCTTCAAATAGGTATTGAGAGCTTTCTTATACTGACTAAGCTCATCAAATTGTGCCCATTGAAACATCTAACAATCGTCACAATGACTTAATTCTACTCGCTAGATTAATCACTTGCTGAAGTGTCCTACACTGGGTGCTTTTCAAGCACTTGCATTGGCTTGTTGCAATGCCATTAGAGTAAATATTATTGCCAATCCATGTTTATGTGCGTGTGTTGTTTGCCCTGTTTAGTGTTTGTGTCACATTTACCTTGTTTTAATCAGCTACGATTCCGCCTCGTGACCCAGATGTACGACGTCGGTGACCTCAATCGAGTTGCAGCAGAGGCGTGTGGTGGAGATAATCGCTTGAATTATAATCACCAGCACTCCGAATTTCTCGTATTGCGTAGTTTAAGCCTCCACTTTATATGAACTTCGATTTTAATTGGTATTAGTGTTGCTCTTCGCCCCCTATTTTAACTCGATTACTGGGATAAAATTTAATGGGCTTTATCATGTGATGGTATTGGAATAAAGGGAAGCATTACAGTACTGCAATAGTTTACCGTTTTTAGGCGGGAGATCAGGATAACTTGATTTATGTTGTCAGGACATTGAAATTTTGCTTTGTTTATGTTCTGGTGACTTTGCGTTCTCTTGCCCCATGTAGTTGTTCGCGAAATATTCTAAGGTACCAATTTAGGGTCTTGATTCGGTATTAGTCGCTCGCTTTAATATTGCTGTCGTTGGTAATGCCATCTTAATTTTTATTTGCACGTTCTGGCTGCCAAGAAGAAGCATTGAAGACTGGTGGATGCGTTTGAGGCAATTTGAACAAGAGCTCTCTTTAGTCTCTCCTCACTTAAATCCGTTTATACATCGGGATCGTCTCTATTCCCACTTAGTCAATATTCAACTGACCCCCACCCCCACCCCCCC